AATTTGTCTGTGTGCTTTTGCTTGGTATATTTTGTGTCTGTGTGCTGGTAGGACGAGAGCACTGCTCTGTCCATTGCTCTGGAGGCTGGACACAAAGATATCGCTATGCTTCTCTATGCCCATGTCAACTACTCAAAGGGCCAACCGAGGGTATGACTATTCCTTGTCTACATTTGTACTCTCTTATAGCATTTTACTTACTTACCAATAACATATTTTTACCAATTACATTAGCTGCACAACAGTTTCTGTTTGTGTGTGTGAATGCTCATCCACAGGGTTCTCCTCGAAGCAAGACACCACCTGGTGCACGCATAAGCTCTTCTGATTGATATGACATTTGTCCATGCTCTCTTCATCCATTCAGACATCCCATCTGAACGACCTGTTCAATCATATGACTGAGATGAATGTGACAGGTTATGTTTTCCAACAGGTGTAATATTAAAGAGAGCAGTATTTTCAAAAGTGCAGTGCACTGTTGGTATTGCAAGCTGCATCATTTATTTTCTTCTTTACTGACAGTTATGTTTTCCAGATATAAAAATACCAGTTATGCAGACTGACCGTAATAAAGACCTACTATAATAGGAAACTGCATGTCAAAACAGTTTTATATATTAATTTTAGGTGATATATACATTTATATGCATTTTAGGATTATATACATTTTTTTCACATTTTAAAAGCTTGAATTAGTTTCTTGTAATATATATTTTACCAAGTAGGCTATACACTATTCACTTCCAAAATCTGAAATCTAGATTTTAAGAACTCTTAATAAAAGTGAATGAAATGTAAATGTCATGTTCATATATAAGTAAATAAATATGTGATTACATCACCACCTTGTGTTTACTGCAAATATTGCATTACTTTGCTCTCTTGTTGTGTTTTAGATCTGTAGAATTCATATAGTTGTAATGCCATCTAATGGTGAAAAGCTGGACTGCATATGATCAGCAGACATGAGGAAGGTCGTGCTAACTCTAAGGAACAAATCTGCAAAGAAATATTATTATTATTATCATTATTATAACAATCGAACTGACAGAGTGTAAACATACCCATTGTTTCAGTTCGTTTAGAATCTGAACCAGTGATTCCCCGATTCATGAGTGCAATTGAATTGGTTCTTTTGAATTGGCCATATCGTTTTGGAATCGGTCTGAATCATTCTGACTGATCACTCACGGACTGAATTTATCATTTCTCACTCCCTGAAATGGTTAACATGATGCTGTAAAACAGAGAACCATAAGAGCGCAGGAAGTGGATATTTGCCTACAATTAATTAAAAACCTGCAATCTGTCATTTGTCAGCCATGAAGAAGGTCTTTGTCAAGGTCAACACCTGCATGCTGCGACTGCGGGTAAAGACATTTTCCGACCAAAAGAGTATCAAAACATTAAACGAAAACATCAAAAGTACCATGTAACATGACTTTAGTAGTAATTAAGGACCAAGTTGTTTAAGTGCTGTGGTTTTAATTTATGTAAATGCTGAAATACACTACACGATTTTTGCCCCGATTTTCCGCCGATTTGCAGACTCCCGATTTTTTGGCTTCAGACTTTGATCCATCAGTCGGAGGATATCAAACATTTTTGAGCCGATTTTAGAACGTGTTTTCATTTGTTGTCACGCATCTTCTAGCAACAAGGCACACATATTGAGTTTGCTATGATCGGAACAACTTTAAGGTCTGGTTGTAGTGTTATCCTCAGTCCTTTAGTGTATGATGGACAGCTTTTCCTCTGTGACTATTACAGAGTCGGTAAGTGATGCCTAGTATTGTTTTAAAATCTGTTAAGATTTTAAAAGTCATGTAGTGTATTCCAGTCTACACAAGACTGGAAATTTAGAAAAAAGTGACATTATTTAGTTCGTTCATTAAGCTGTTTTATCTGGAACTTTATCTGGTCCCCCAGAAGACAAAATAATCTTAAAATGTTGATCTTTGCCTGAACTGTATAATTCATTTTTTAGATTGAAGAACAGAAAATATGGCTTTTAAACACACCTGGCCTTCTTGAAGCATATAAGATATCAGTGTTCAATAGCACAGCCGGTGATGAGCTAATTTTACCAGCCTCTGCCGCTGTCTGCTCAGGAGGGAGCAGCTCCCACACCAGACACTGATACAGCTTAGAATGCTTTCAGTGGTGCATTTATAGAAACTGCTCTGGATATTTGAACATATGCCATTTGACTGTGATCTGCTCTTTTTAACCCCACAGAGAGTTATGGTGTCCCAACCCAAACAGACGGGTAATTATTACTCTGATAAGAAATGCCACTCCATGACTTTCACATGCAGTGTGAAGGGCATTTGATTGTTCGGACATCATCTGAATTTAATACTTGTCACGAAGAGCTTATCATTTAGAATTCAGTTGTTACAACTGGATATTTTCTCTACTGAAAACATGACAAAACTCCAAAAACTTACATAGAGCAAAAGTAGTTTGGACTACTTTTATGATACTGCTTTTCTGTGGCATGTCACAAATCTTAGAGGATCTCTCGAGAACCTTGAGTCTGAAAAATACATCAGATAATCAAAAATATATATATATAAAATAAAAAATTGTGCCTATATGTATTGGTCGGATATCTTTTGCCATTTCATTGCATCTTGCTATTTTTTGTATATATAGTTACAAAAAATACAAAATATTAGACTTTCATTAAGAGCCACTGGCCAATTAAAAATATATATATATTTATTTATGATTTTTTTAAGCTTAAAAACGCCATTCCCCATTCATTGTAACTGCATGGAAAAGAGCAGCTAGTACATTTTTCAAAACTAATTATTTTGTGTTCCACAGGAAACAAAAAAGTCTTTCAGGGTTGGAATCAACTTGAGGGTGAGTAACTGATGGCAGTTTTTTAATTCATTTTTGTGTGAACTAATCTTTTAAATGAAATCCTGTGTGATATTGCATTCTACTGCATAATGACGATCAGTTGGAGCCCATTTTTATAATCATGTTTGCAATTGGTAACAGGACAAAATAAATTATTCACAAAAAGAGGGACATTTTTATTTAAGAATAAGCAAAGAAATATAAAAAGGACAACAGCTGACATTCAAATCTTATGTAGAATCAGTTCAGCTGTAGTGAAAAAGAAAATAGATGGCTGTCAGATAAAAGGCAGCCTATAATATTACACAAACAATATTCAATTCAATTCAATTCAAGTTTATTTGTACAGCGCTTTTCATGATACAAATCATTGCAAAGCAACTTTACAGCAAATTAAGTTTCTACAATATTTAGTGGTAGCTTATCAGTGGTGACTGTCAGTCAATGTACATATGGCAGAAATGTACGGAAAAATCAATTAAAGACGTAATCAAACAGACGATGAACACTATTAACAGCAATTATTATCATGTACACAATATCTTGTGGTGAGAAATTAATTTGAAGGCTGTGTCTATTAAGGTTAGCTTAGAAGATTAGCTTTTTTTGTGTAGCTTTTGTATAACATGACTTACTACATCTATGTTTTTGATACCTGACACATCAGCTATGTGGATGCATGCATGGACTTACATTAACTTCATTGATTATAGTTCAGCATGTCTTTGGATTTTAGCTCATCTATATGTAGCTCAGAGACTCATTGTGTTTGAGAATGTTCAGCTCAGTGTGTCTGTGTTTTGTGATGGAATGCTATAGCATTACAGCTCTGTGCGGTCTGCAGCCAGTAAAACGTGGTGTTGCCATAGTAACCGCCTGAGATGTTTTACCAAAATGCCCTTGTCGACCTGATAGCAAAACATGCATATGAAATGTAAAATTATGACAGCGTGTAATCATACCACAACACATGCAAACACTAAAACTCTACTCTTCCGTGATAAAACAATATTGATACTTCTCAGAGGCTTGTCAAAAATATGACTGGATAATATTGTTTGATAAATTAAACAATGGCTTTTGTAATGAAGCTGTTGCCATGGCAAATGTACATGAACAATGTTGCATCTTAAAACGGCATCTGATTTTAAACAGACACTTAAGAGGCATATTTCATTCATGAAAATTAAGGAAAATATTGAAAGCAGAAATATGACTCATCACAGGGATTTCTGGTGACAGATGGCAATTTAGCCTCCTAGGAAATTTTGGCAATTTATTAAACTGAACTTTCATAATGGATTTAAAATCTGATTGCATAATGCTAAAATTGATAACACATGACATTAAAAAGTGCAGATTTTATGTACTATCACAAACTCTTCTAAGTTTATTTGCTGTTCACATAAAGAGTTATTTGTCAAGTTATGGTTTATTGCCGAGATTAATTTTAATTACAAATATGATAAACACATGGCCAATTTTATTTTTATTGGTGTATGTGCCCCTGACACAAATTTCACAGCTTTTTTCCCAGGGTCTGTTTTGTCTATTTCAATTATTTACTTTATAAAGCACATTTTCACACCCATACCAATTCAGCAGTATCATTTCAAAATGAATGTGTCTCAGGACTGCCATCAACCGATTATATTTGGCCAAGAATACATTCCAAGTAATATCAGGACACAGCTGAGCCCTTGCAATAATACAGCAAAAAAATAATTAAGCATATGCCACGTCTGTGAGCTACATGTGAAGCTACTTTACAAGTTATTAGTCTCAGATCTCAAAGGGAAGCAGACAGAAACTATTATGTTTTGTACTATCTGGTAATATGTATAGCCCCAAATGATTTCACCAGAATCTCTATTCTTTTTTATGTTGTAAAAGCTCCCAGACGCAGATACAAACATGCCATTAGCCAATTTATGTGCGTGTGTTTGAGAGTGTGTGCAACACAACATTAACAACCCTGGAATCCTCTCAAGATGTCAGTAAAGCTGGCAAAAAACCCATCTGCATAGGCACAAAAATGGAGCCCGCTTCTTTTAACAGAGGGGCGGTTAAAAAAGACTGAAGGAGAGCATAAAAGAGAGGGAGACGGGAAAGGGAAAAAAGGAAAAGAAACCAGATTGCGACAGTCGATATTAAAACATGCAGTGAGTGAGAGAGAAAAGGAGAGAGAGAAAGGGTGGAGAGAGAGAAAAGCGAGCTGCAGGCCTTTCCACGGGGACAAACTAGCAGAAAGGCATCTCGCAGTTATTCCTTTCTCTCTCTCTTTCTCTCTCTCAACATCCTAACTGCAATTGATTTGTGTATGAAAAGCTGGGCGCTTTTCGCCCCCCTTTCGGGCTGTGCGTTTTGAGTGATCAGCTGATGAAGAGACTGGCTGCGCGCTGCAATGCTGGTTTGCTAATTCTCTCTCCTCCAGACTGGAGCCAGCCTGGAGACCACAGTCAGGTAAATAGCCCTCTTCATTTCTCTCTCTCACTCTCTCTCTCACCCTCTCACTCTCTCTCCCTCTCCTTCTCACTTGCTCTCTCTCCTGCGCATGCAATCACACCAGGCTTCAGCACATGGGCACACAGACAGAAAGTGAGAGAGGGAATGTGTGTGTGTGTGTGTAGGTGTGAACTGTGTCTGGTGAAGGAAAGCATTGCCCAGACAAATCGGTTGTGTGGATCCTGACACCTTTTTTTCTTTCTAGAGGTTACAGGAACAGACTTGTATAGCGTAACAAGGGTTTTGGCTTGCTGCACCAAGTAGAGACTCTCTAAATGTGCTTTCTGCAAACACCCTGTTTTGTGTGCAGTGGTTCAGTTGTGCGTCTGTGCATGCGAGCGCGTGTGTGTGTGTCAGTGTGCATTCCATCATTATGCTGTTGATTATTAGGCCTCCTTCCTTCCACATGGTCCCCAGGGGTACGTGTGAATAAATGCATTCCGTGTGTTTCTCTGCGCGCTTTCATATTTGTCTTGCGCCCATGTAGAGGATATTTGTATGAAATATTTGCGTCTGTGAAGGCTGTTCTCTCGCGTCAGTGCATTGCGTCTTGTTTTGTCTGATTTTTTTGTGCATATAAAAGTATATGAGAGCGTTTTGTGCGCTGCGCTCGTGTTTGATTTAGACATCAATGGCTGGTGCTGCCTGCATAGCGTCATACTCAGAATTCATATTTTCATCCCTCTCATATGCTCTCTGCGGCAGCCAGGCATATCACTGCACTTTAATTGCCTTTGTATAAAACACAGACTCGGCAGCACACTCACTCACTCACACACACACACACACAGAGAGAGAGACAGTGAATTCCGCATTTGAAGCGTGTGCATGTTGCTAGCCGCTGCGTTCTAGTCCCGTTTTTAATGAAACGCGTTCGGCGCACTGTATGGTGAACCGCACGCCACTGTTCCGTTATGTCAGGTGTGTTGGCTGGAGAACAGCATCGCCGTAAACGTCAATCATTTAATTCACAATGGGACTGAAGATCAGTGTACCAGCGTCTCCTGCCTCCCCAGCAGCCCCTGTGTTGGATCATACAGAGCTAGTGGGATATTGTTAAGTGATTCTTTATCAAATATTAAAATGGAAGTGAAAGCAGCTGCTCGTGTTAGAGGGGACTGAAGATTGAAGGCAGATTGCTGGTGAGACTTATAGCCAAGATGATGATGAGTTGGACCTGGAAGCGTTCGGATGAAAGGCCAGAAAGTTCATAAAACTGCTTAATAATTTAAAGGGTTAGTTCACCCAAAAATGAAAATTCTGTCATTAATTACTCACCCTCATGTAGTTCTAAACCCTTACGACATCTTCTTGTGTTCATCTTTGGAACACAAATGAAGATATTTTTGATGAATTCTGAGAGCTCTCTGACCCTCCCATAGACAGCAAGGGTCCTTACATGATCAAGGTCCAGAAACGTAGCAATGAGATTGGTAAAATAATCCATGTGACATCAGGGGTTCAACCTTAATTTTACGAAGCTACGAGAATACTTTTTGTACGCAAAGAAAACAAAAATAACGACTTTATTCAACAAATCGTCTCCTCCGCGTCACCCTGGTGCCATTTTGGAGAGTATCCACTGAACGTAAATCGTATCCGCATGACGCAGCTGACACAGAATAGCATACGCTGTTTACGTTCAGTGGATACTCTCCAAAATGGCATCAGGGTGACGCGGAGGAGACGAATTGTTGAATAAAGTCGAGTTAGAACGACATGAGGGTGAGTAAATAATGACTTTTGGGTGAACTAACCCTTTAACGCTGACTGTCTTGCTTTATTATTACTTAAAATTCAACATGGCAAATAGGTGGTAATTCTACATTCTGCAATAGTGCATTAATTACCATAACGTTTCAACTGTTATTTGCATAGAGAAGGTTGATGATGGCACAGAAACACTATGTTAAAGTTAGGTTCTGTGATGGTTATTAATACTACAGTACTGATTAGCAAATTCACATGCACCATGCATTTAATACTTTTTTTTTTTGCATAATAATGTTCTGAATAGCTCTTATACATTATAGAATAGTGTTTATAAGAAAAAATATATACATTTTAGAAATTGTAATTTCAACCGTAACTCAGTAGAACTTTACAATAAAGTTATTAAAGGAATAGATCACCCCAAAATGGAAATTTGCTGAAACGTACTCACCCTCAGGCAATCTATAATGTAGATGAGTTTGTTTCTTAATTGAAACAGGTTGGAGAAATTTAGCATTACATTGCTCACCAATGGATCCTCTGCAGTGAATGGGTGCTGTCAGAATGAGAGTTGAAACTTGATAAAAATATTACAATAGTCCACAAATAATCAACAGAACTCCATCAATTAATGTCTTGTGAAGTGGAAAGCTTAATAAACAAATCCATCATTAAGAAGTTTAAACCATTGCTTTAGGCTAACATATGAGTCCCCTACCCTTTCAATATTGCTTTTAACTGATAAAAACATAACAAAATCACACACACGCACACACACACACACACACACACACAATAATCCTCAAATAATTTAAGTCCATCAATGAACTTCTTGTGTACAGAAAATCTTAAGGGTTATTACTTCTGGATTATTGTGATGTTTTTATCAGCTGTTTGGACTCTCATTCTAACAGCACCTATTGATTGCAGAGGATTCATTGGTGAGCAAGTGATGCAATGCTAAATTTCTCCAAATCTGTTCCGATGAAGAAACAAATGTATCTACATCCTGGATTGCCGGAGTAATTTTTTAACATTAGTTAATGCAATAGGTATCATAAATTAATAACATTTATAGCGTTTTATAGCAATTATTAATCTTGGAACATGAATTTACAATGAACAATAGTATATTTATAAATTAACATTAAATTAACGAAAAATGTAAGGGGGTCTGAATACTTTCCGTACCCACTGTATCTACATCCTGGATTGCCGGAGTAATTTTTTAACATTAGTTAATGCAATAGGTATCATAAATTAATAACATTTATAGCGTTTTATAGCAATTATTAATCTTGGAACATGAATTTACAATGAACAATAGTATATTTATAAATTAACATTAAATTAACCTTGAGTCAATAAATACATATGTGTTCATTATTATTGTCCATTATCACAATAGGCTATCTAAAGTTGAACCTTATTTTAAAGTATCCTATCTAGTATAACTATATCTATCTATCTATCTATCTATCTATCTAAAAACATATAAACAAAATATCCATTCTCTTTCTTGTTAAATGAAAAGTGAAAAACTATTCATAGTTGTAGGCATTATTTTTTTTTATCTTAAAATGTGCACAGTGAGGATATTTTAAGTTCCAGTTCATGATCACAGTTTTATATAATTTAAACTGCAAAATCCTTATTTTTGTCAAATCCAGTACTGCTCATCACTGTTTCCATGTCTTTTTCTCAATCTCAGGCCATCCAAAACGGAGTGTCTGAGGTTATGGAGGAGGAAAGCAACTTGAAGAAACGAAAAAGCGATCAACAAGGCAACCAGGGCTCTGAGACTGGTCAGGAGGTGGTCAAAAAGCGACGGGGTCGCCCTCCTGTCGAGAAACTGCCGCCCAACCCTCCCAAGCTCACAAAACAGATGAACACCATAGTAGACATGGTCATCAACTACAAGGACACGTCAGTAGTTAAACACACAGACTTAATAGGTTGTTGTTGGCTGTTTTTATTTCTTGACATGATGTAAATCGTGACACTAAAACTTTGCCAGCAGTTTTAAGTTCATTCTCTTTCCCTTTATTTTTGCATGTGTGCTTCATGTCAGACAGTACAATAAAAAATTTTAATACCCCTTCTTGAATATATCACTGTTCTACAGGTTGGGCCGACAGATCAGTAAAGGTTTCGTTCAGCTGCCCTCAAGAAAAGAGGTGCCAGAGTACTACGAGCTCATCCGCAAGCCAGTCGACTTCAGG